TTAAGGTTTGCAGCCCGATTCGTAATCACTACGCTACCAGAGCTTGCCTAATTGTTTTACATCCGCCTTATTCTTCCATTCCCCTTCCCCTTCTAGTGTATTGTCCCCCTCCCCAGCACCCAAACTATCCTGTGTCTGTTCCCTACCCTGTGCTCCACTTTCCCTTCCCTCCCCTCACCACACCTGCCACATCCCAGTAACCAGCAAAGAATCCCCCCACCCTTTAGTATGGGTTCTTTTTCATAGTCTTTTACTGTAGTGGTCCTATGCAGTACTTCTCCTTTAGTGACTTACTAATTTCACTCAACATAATGTCCTCAAGGTTCATCCATGTTATGCAGGGGCTTGCAGCTTCCTTGTTATTCTTCAAGGTAGCATAATATTCCACTGTGTGTATGTACCACAGTTTGTTTATCCATTTTTCATTGATGGGCACTGTCTCTATCTTTTTGCTCTTGTAAATAGTGCTGCTGTGAATATTCGTGTGCATATATCTGATCGTGTTATGGTTCATTTTTCTTGCGGATAAATACCAAGTAGAGGAATTGCTGGATCATAAGGTATTTTTATTTCCACCTTCTGAGGAAGCGCCATATTGTTTTCCAGAGAGGTTGGACCATTTTGCAATCCCACCAGCAATACAGGACCGTCCCCGTCTCTCCACACCCTCGCCAGCATTTATTGTCCTCTACATTTTTTATCTTTGCTGTTATTGTTGGTGTTAGATGATATCTCATTGTTGTTTTGGTTTGCATCTCTCTAATGGCTAGTGATCGTGAACATTTCTTCATATGTTTGTTGGCTGCCCATATCTCCTCCTTGGTGAAGTGCCTGTTCATGTCCTGTGCCCATTTTTTAATTGGGCTATTTGTCTTTTTCTGGTAGAGGTGTTGTTGTTGTGTGCCATGGAGTCGGTTCCTACTCATAGCGACCCTGTACAGGGTTTCCGAGGCTGTAAATCTTTACGGGAGCAGAACGCCTCATCTTTTCCCCATGGAACAGCTGGTAGTTGCAAACTGCTGACCCTGAGGTTAGCAACCTGATTCATAACCACTATGCTGTTTCCTATATACTTTAGAAATGAGTCTCTTATCTGATGTGTCGTTGCAAAAGAATTTTTTCCCAATCCATGGTCTCCCTTTTTACTCTTCTGGCATAGTCTTTTGATGCACATAAGTTTTTAACTTTTAGTATGTCCCAATCTTCTAATTTTGTCTACTTTTGTTTGTCTAGTTTTCAAAATGTTTTGTAGTCTGTTATTTTCCTGAATTTGTGCCCTCACATTTGTTCCTATTTTTTTCATTGATGGCCTTCACAATTTAGGGATTCACATTTAGGTCTTTAATCCATGCTGTGAATTGGTTTTTGTATAAGGCGTGAGGTAAAGGTCTTGTTTTAGTCTTTTGCATATTGCTTTCCAGTTCTACCAGCACCATCTATTGAAGAGACTACCCCCTCCCCTTGCAATATATTTAGGTATTTTGTCAAAAATCAGTTGTCTGTATGTGCTTGGGTTAATTTCTGGATTCTCGATTCTGTTCCATTGATCAATATATCTCTCATTGTACCAGTACCAGGCTGTTTTGAC